CCTAAACTTTAAGACAGATCTGCTCCAGTCTTTGCATATAGGCTTACACAAAATTGGTTCCTCGCATCAAATAAGAAGTAGCATGTTATATTATTTTTTTACTACTAATTTTTTAACTCTTCCAGTTTACTGGACTATGTTCTAGTCATTGTGCTAAGCTTTCTACATCTATTGCAACTTTTAATCCTCATGACAGCACTGAGAGGCAGATGTATTTACTCTTTGTAAATAAGGAAAACCAAAGCTCAAAGAGATGGACTAGGCTGCAGACACAGGTTATTAAGTGGCAGAGTTGGACTCTGCTGGAGGAATTGAAGAGAGAAAATGTAGGGAAAAGTCTATCAGCTCCTTCTGCCTAGAGACTAAGTTTCAACTCACAACCAGATTCCTGCCTTGAGTGATCATGATGGGGGAGAGCAGAGACTGATTCGCAAGGTCTAGCAGAGGTGTAGTGGCATCACTGTCAAAGGTGAGGGGTGACCAGGCAGATGTCATTAGGATGGCAGGGTACTGGGTTTCATGGAATGTCTGCTATCTTTAAATGGTTGGTGAAAGCAGTGGAATTAACTATTTAAATTTAGGAATATACCTGATAAACCAGAGTACATGTACACATACATAGATTGTCAAAGAGAAAGGGGAGACTTTGAAGGTTGAAAATGTAAATGTAGCTATCAGGATAGGGACTGAAGTCACATTTACGGCTGCCTGGTGTCTGTATTCCAGCCGCTGAGATGAGCACTTTAACTGAGCTAACGTTAGCTCACTCAGTCACCGTAGCACATTATGGGCGTGGGATTTGCAGAGGCTCAGAGAAGTTGAGTGGCTCATTAAAGATCAGGCAACTCAGCAGTGACTGAACTAGAGTTTAAGTCCAGTGGATTGCTGTCCTCCTTGAGTCACCATTGAGCAATTCCCAGCAGTCAGGGAAGTTGTGTATTTGGCTTCAGTGATTGAGATAAGTGCCAGTAAAGGAATTTGCTTCTCCTTCATTTGGCTTTCAAAGGGTGATTTCTTACTGTGGGATGTACACCTCACCATGTGGAATTAAAAGAGTCAAGTAACTTTGATAATTGACTTAATTTTAAGGCATCTCAGAAAAATTATGTGACCATGGCTTTAACCTCTATGAGATTAGAAACAGGTATTCCCAGCACCTGGCATAGAGGAAACACTCAACTATTTGTTGAATAAATGACCTACATATAATCTGATTAAAAGGAATCAGACTCCCAGAATTAGGATTATCTAATGCATGCTGAGCTTCACGGGCCCTGGAAGAGTTCAGCTAACTTTTAAAATGAAATACATTTGGACAACTCTCCTTATCATTAGTGGTTTAAGGATCAGATCCTCATTTTAAAAATAAGCTTTTAGCGACTTTAAATGTTCTCAAATAATCCTTGATTTTGGTTTTAAACATAATGTTCATTTGTCCTGATAATATTTTGAAGTGAAGATAACTTCATTTTTGTCCTTAAGGTGATAATTGCAGATTCAATTATTTCTAAGAGAAAGGGATGTTTAAAAGATGGAGAGTAAAGCTGAGAATCTGGGAGTCATCTTTAACATCGTGGAAATGTCCCACAGTGAGTGTGTGAAGTGACTGTATCTTCCTGTGCCTGTATTTTTTTTTAGAAGATTTATTAAAATAATGTCAATTAGCTGAGCTCTGCTAGATTTTCTTCAGTGGGGTTTCAATTTATTTATGCAGGTCTACTGTATAAATATGAATTTTTTTTCTTTTAGGATATTTCAGTAAATGCTTTAAATGATATTGTTGTCGACTTGAAGTCTGAAGTCTTGGTGTGTTGATAACTGGTAATTTTAATTTAATGTGTCTCAAGAATGCTTTACTGTTAATTGAACGGATTTTTTCTCCCACTATCACAGCCAATGGCTTGTCTTGAGCAGCTAATTAGTGCGATTATTCCACAGCTGCATTTGCTACAGCACAAAGGTTTGCTCCTGTTTTTATCAAAAGGATCAGTCTCTCTGAGAATGTTTTAACCTGACAGGCTTTGAATAGTAAGACCATTTATTTATTTATTTTTAAATAGCCCACCCCCGCTTTTCTTGGTTTAGGAAAGTATACTTGTGCTTTGAACACATACTCAATAGTGGGAAAATACATTTTCTTTTGATGCTCTTTTAGTAGACTCTTACTTGGTGAATAGACTATTTTGAGTAATGGCTTGATATTTTCATTAATGTGGATGAGTGTATTCTCTTAAAATTATGAGCCAGGTATTAACATTGTTTAATCTTTGTGCATTGGTAAGAAGCTATAAAGGAAGGAGGGTGTAAGTCTTCGTGATGCTGCAGACTTTCAGGAGAACCAGGGCACTGGATTCAGTCACTGCTTCCCCATGCTGTTGTCAAAATACTGTTCCCGATGGATCCAGGCTCCCTTCTTCTAGCCAATGGTGACTTTGATCACTGCAGTCTTTTTTCTTCATGTCTTACATTAGTGGCATATATTCTGCCATTGAAAAAAATACAGTATGGCTTTATAGCAGTTTAGGAGAACTAGAAAGAAAAATAAATTTACCTATATTTCCATTCCTAATCTGGCAATTAAGATAATCTTTATACAGTCCCTGCTTGTCATGTATATGCATTTGTGTACATATATACATCTTATTTTAAATTAGAATGTGAATACACTTTCAAATCCTACTTTTAAATTTACTCTAATTGCACGCATTTCTCTTTGTTCTGTAGTTGTGCACTTAGAAAACAATATTACCAAATTTATGTATCATAATTTACTTCTTTTTTATCTATTTTATGCTTAGATCTTTTAAATAGTTTTATTTTTTTGCTAGCTTTATTGAGGTATAACTGACAAAAATTGTATATATTTGAGATGTATAACATGATTTGATATTCATATACATTGTGAAATGATTATAGTTAAGCTAAAAAAATCCACCAGCTCACATTACTATTTATTTTCTTTTTTGTGGTGACAGTACTTAAGATCTACGCTCTTAGCAGATTTCAAGCATACAGTGTGGTACTATTAGCCATAGTCACTGTGCTGTAGATTCCCAGAACTTGATCTTATAATTAAAAGATTATACTTTTTGACCAACATCTTCCCTGCTAATTTACTTAACCATTTTCATATTAGAGGGTAAATTTAGGTGGTTCAGAATATTTTGCAATTTGTAAGTATCTTTTTTTCCACATTTTGAATTATTTTCTTAAGAAAATTGTGCAATGAAAATTAAAATTTTGAGTCAAATTATATATGAACAAATTATAGGTGTTTGAAAATATTGTTTTCTTCAAATATTTTAATAATAATAGTAATGGCTCAGAATAACATTATCATTACAGCTTTTCTTTCAGTGAACATTTTTGTAAAAAATGGCTTTCTAAGATTACTGTGTAATTTTTATTCCAACAATAAACATATTTCTACATCATTTTTAATGGCTGCATAGTATTACATTACATGAACCTATCACAATTTATGGAACTCATTTCCTATGGTGAATAAGTTAACTGCTAGTATAATTTTTATTATGTAGTTTTCCAGAACTGTGTGAGAATGAAACAGAAACACTTTTTCATCCTTTAGAATGTTTTGTTACCTGTAGAGTTTGATGATTCCTATCTTTAAGGAGCTCATAAGGGTGGCCAATGATTTAAAGGCTCTGTTTGACCTTTTGTTAGAAGGTAAAGACAATACTGGGTTTATACTCAAAGGACAGTAAAGGTGCAAATACTCCCCATGAAGAATGACTTACTCAGGAGTGAATAATTTCTCAAGTGGTACTTTCTGTTTAGGTACTAAAACTTTGTAGTATTTGCTCTAAGCAGAAATCTTTTTTTTTCTCTTTAAAGAAAATTATATTGCTGGAAATATATAAATAATTAAAATTTTCAGGTAATATAGGGACAACATTTTTTTGAGGCAGTACTACATGGCATTCATTGTTCTAGGGGATTTATGTGCTTTATTTTATATTTTATTTAATCTTCAAAAAACCCCTAGAGGTATGGCTTTAAAATATAAATGGTGCAATAGAATTTTTAGAAACACATACCACTGTGTTAAATGAGTATGTGGGTAAACAACTATTGTTAGCCTTCTTTTCCGGGCATGGTAACTAAGGCAGAAAAACGTTTGAAGACTTATTCATGTTTTTGAGGTGGTGAGATAATCCATGGATACCCACATTTAGGAAAATTAGTGAGTCCTTCCTTCTTAACTTTTGACTAGTGTTTAAGCATTTTCAGTAATTTTGGATTCAGTTAAGTACCAAACCCTTAAACTCAGGATTCATGGGGAACTTGCTGAGCACATACAGGAGAGGGCATGCCAAGATGAATCTGAAGAAAAGGCAGTACAATGAAAACGAGGCAGAGAAGAATTGGGTTGTCAAACCAGCTTGTCTTCTGCCCCCATTCCCAAAGACTAAGGTCGAGTTCAGTGTCAACATTCCGGTCCAAATTCTTTTTTCATTAATGATTTTTACTTTCCATATCTTAGAAAAACTTCCCCATGACAAAAATTCACCTTCCTTTAAACTGTTTTGTGTTAGTAAACATTTTAGACATCTTTAAGGAATTTAGATAACATGTAGAACTAGTAGTTTGGTTAGATTCAGTTATAAAAAAGCAAATCAAGTGATTTATTTTTAAATGTGGAAATCTGGGTGCCATAAAGGCACATCGCTTCTTGGCACTTCATATGGCAGCACTATATTTGGCGGTATGAGTAGTATACAGTATAAAATGTCAGAAAAAAATTAGGCCACATGATAAAAATGCCTAGATGCAATCAAGCTGGTTTATTTTAATTCAATTGCTAATGACTTAAATCCTGTCACCTCTTGATTTTCAATTATGTGGAGTACTACTATTCTGCAACTTGATTATATTTGCACAGGTTCATTTCATGGTTTGGTGCAATTTAGGATACCCAAAATGCAAACGAAGGGTCTCATTAGAAACTAAATGTTATGTGTGTTTCGGTTTTCCCACAGCAGTTCCGAGGAGCATCCTGGGGCCTCCAAGCCTCCAATAAGCTCCTCCAGTATGACATCACGCATCTTGCTACGCCAGCAACTCATGCGTGAGCAGATGCAGGAGCAGGAGCGCAGGGAGCAACAGCAGAAGCTGCAGGCGGCCCAGTTCATGCAGCAGAGAGTGCCTGTGAGTCAGACACCAGCCATAAACGTCAGTGTGCCCACCACCCTTCCCTCTGCCACCCAGGTGCCAATGGAAGTCCTTAAGGTATGTGAGTGTCACTCTCTCTGGTTGGGCTGAGCCCTCTTCAGACCAACATTTTCCACTTTTTAGGTGTTTTATTTGTCTGAATGTGTATTTGGTCATATGGGCCCATATGAATAATATTTGTAAATGCTAACTTCATTGAATCCTACATGGCCTTGTATTTTAAAAGAAGGATGGAAACTAACTGTAAATTTGACAGTAACCCACACTAAATGGAGGAGAAATATTGCTGTTCCATGAGAAATTGCAAGTAGGAATAGGTGTCTGTTGTAATAATATCTTTCCATCCTTCTTTGGTAAATTTTTAAAATGTACAAGTTGGCTGAAATGTGCCTCTTGTAATAACTTATACATATTTTTTCCCTCAAAACTTCCCATGACTATTCTTTAATTTTCCTCTTTTATTTAGTAAATAATATTGGCTATAGAATCTGACTCTTCTAGAAAGTCTTTGCAGATATGAAACTGTAGAAGAGCTTTCTACACTTTAATAACCAGACTTCATAATCCTTTAACTGATGTGAGTTGTCTGTTTTGGGTTTCTTTGATTTTTTGCAAGAGTAGAAACTGCAGGAGCTTGTTAGTCTCATTCTATCAAGGACATATAGCTTCCTAATTACTAGGGAAAATTGTAACAAGTCTAAGAATAGAATTCTATCTCACACATGTGTCCTCCACAACACATTGGGAGATACTCCTTGTTTAGAGATTAATCTTCTAACTCTTAAATATGACTGATGCAAGGAAAGTTAAAAGGAAAATAAGGAACTTAAAAAAAAAATTAACCCATTCACATAATTGATTCATTCTGAAGAGTCCCAAGTGTAATTGTTCATTAAACAATGTGAACTTTACACACTGGTAGTTTATTGTTGGTCTTTGCATTCATTTGTGTGCTCAGATAAAAACATCTCCCACTATTTAAAGTTTACTTTTAAAGCAAATAGAGGGGATGATGTGTTACATTTGGGAAGTAATATATGATCCTTACCAGTAAATAGGAAAGAAATTCTTTAAAAACAAATTGGAAGTCAATGGTTTTTATTTGCAAAAACTCTTCAATGTAGTGACGAGATCATGGAAATCTTTAATGGAAAAACCAACTGAAATTCTGTTAGGGCAAAAAGATCCAACGAGTTTAGCATAAAACTTTAAAATGTTCGCAGTTCTGGACATTGTCACAATTAATGGATGTTCTGTCCTGTTCCCCCACCCCACCCTCCAAGTAAAGGCAAGGTTTTCTCTTGGAAATAGATTATATATTAAGTATTTCTGTTCTGCTTGGGTGAAAATTGACGATCACTAAGCTTTTATAGATTTAAGATTTATTTAAGATTTAAGTTGTCTGGTGTTCACAAGAATCATATTTGTTTTGTCTGTACCTTAGATTATTTGAAGTTTTGTATGAATTGAAAAACAATAAAATGTGGAGAAATATGCCTATTTGATTTTCCATAGTAGTCTACTTTTTAAATCTGAAAGACTAATTTTAGGAGAGATGACATGGATTTGTGCTAGTAGTGGTTTATGTCCAATTAGAAGGTAATGTATGATATTATATTAAATTATGCTAATTGAAATCAGTATTCTTATTAAGGCAGTTGCCTCTGATGTTGAGAAAATTACCCAAATACAAATGTGTTGAAACATAATTTCTAAATAATCTTAAAAATGGACATTATTCCTACATGTTTTTATTACTTAAAATGTTACTTTTGAAAATGATTAAAATTAAAATCTCTGCTAAATGGTTTGAATAATACACCCATTTTTCCTTATATGTTGTTGTGTTGGTAATGCTGGCTTGAGCTACAATCCTCAATTTAGTTATGCCAGGAACATGTCCCAAGTTCAAGCACAAATAAAGTATTAGAACTGGGAGAACTTATCTAACTAAAAATGAGCAATTGGTTAATATCTGTTGCATACTGAATATAGTTTATGTTTCTTTAACTTGTACATTTTTATACTTCAGTTATATAAAATAGTAAAGTGTGTCATATAAATGAAAAGAAAGAATCATTGGCCTAGCAATGCAGATGGTTTTGATAGCTATTTAGACCCTTAAATATTTTAGTGCCTTTAAAAGAAAGCCCAAGTAAAAATATATGATTTTATGTAAGATGACATTCTAAGAAATTCAAACAGCATTTTTAAGAAAAGAACCTTGTAACTGCTTGCTTCAGGTCCTAAAAGACTTGGTATGGTATAAAAATATTTAATGTATTCATAAAAGTTTTTTGTATAATAATATTATGAAATATTTATTATAGAAAGGTAATTGAGAAAAATCATTTTTTCTTTTTCCTTTTATAGTTTTTAAATTATAAGCATAATTTTATAAAGTAAATGGTTAATAGAAAAATCAGATAATTTGCTTAATCTTGGACTATTTTTCTATGAATATACATTTTCATGAAATGAGTAGTACTGAGTATACAAATTGAGTGCAGTATGATATAGATTATATTGAATAGATAGTGTAACCTGAGTATTTTTCATTGAATTTTTAAAGATTTAAATTGCTGAAACAGAACATACCTGTTTCTCAGTGGTGTTAGTTATGTACAGTCAGACCGTTCTATCATGTGTTTGAGCATCCTGGTTAAATCTCTCCATCTCCCACTGGTTGGCAAGAAAACTTGAGAGAATATCAAACACACCAAATCCAGTTACCAACTTTTTACCATCAGTGGGATGAATGACTGATTTCGAAAGTTAAATTAGTGTTTTCAGGTTAATCCTTTTCTTTGGCAGAGTTATACTTAAAATCGGAACCTTTATAAAGCATGTCTAAAACATACTGATAGCATCTGGTAAGCTAAGGTCTAGTCTTTGGGATTCAGATTAGAGGTTGGTAATTTGCATTACTACTTATTGTTCAGTCTTGTAAGTTCATGAAAGTTTGCAAGATTAGCCTCTGGTTTCTACATTGATTTAGTTAATTTTTGGCTTTTATTCCTATTACTGGACTTCATGTCGGGTGACACTGAATGATTAGTCTTACTGCTATGTAATTGCTATATATTTAAGTATTAGAGATACCCTCTGGGTTTAAGAACAGTCATACTCAGTTGGATTTGGTAATTTATGGATGCTTCTTTATCATAAATTAACCAATACTTGGGAGTGCATAATGCATTTTTTTTGTTGTAGTGAACACACTTTGTATTTCAAATTATGAATTAATAAAAAAGTTATTAAGAACCATTAATGGGGGCAGTTTCTTCTGCAGGTGAGTTTTGTTCTCATGTGAGTCAAACCTGATGTTTGAAAAATTTGATGTTGCTTCTTTTAAACAAAAGCAGAGGAACCTGGGGTAGACCTTGTGGACAGTATCAGATCTCATAGCTGAAGAAGCGTCATGGTCCAAACCACGGTGTTCTTGTCCACGCACTCATCAAACATATGTTTTCACCTTCTCATCTGGTTGCTCTGATAATGGACTGGCAAGTTCATCAGAATTTCTCTACCCACTTCCTCCCACAACATGTACTCTGCCAGTTTATTGCTTGAAAACATTAGTTTATAGTTCGAAAACATTTCTCTGTTCAGGAATTTTTAGAGAATTGCCAAGGATCTTCCCCTCTACTTCCCTTCCTTCCTTTCTTTCACCTTGGAATTAAAAATTTCAAGGCAAGGTCTTCTCTAGAGTAGATTGTACACTGAAACTTTCTGTTCTGCTTAGGAGAAAAGTTGCATGACTTTAAAAAGCTTTTTGTATAGCTTTCAGAAATTTTTAGTTTGAAAGCATATATTTTTTGAATTTTTCTTTTTTTCCAAGTCATCTCAGGTAATGCTAGGAGTTGGGTAGATTGCTGTAGAATTAGAAATTATGGTGCGTGCTGTTTATCAAATACAGAAACATTTTTGCCAGGGCCATCTACATTGTAAACTAAATTTACTTGGCATTTATTTTGTGGTTGTCTCATAATGTGGCATCCCATTTGCTTAGTTATTTCAGCTAGTTGGGATGAAGTCCTGCTTCCTTGTCACCCTGTTTCACACCCAACAGTCTTTGTGATTTTACTAGGGAGAGAGAAAGGGTAAATGACCAAATTGCTGGCTTTTCTCTGTAACTTGAAATCTACCTGGTGTAGAATTTTCAAGGTATTTCTTATTATTTAAGTATAATACAGAAATTGGAAGAAAAGGGTGTGTGGAGTTGCAACTAGGTTGCTCGGTGACAGATTAGCAGAAGTTATTTCCAAACCCCACTATGCATTTAGATTTTGTTCCTGATTTATTTAGCCTAGGGTGCAGCACCTTATAAAAGAAACAGGAACAGATTCAGCACATCTCAGATTGACTTGCTTTGGTATGCTTAGTTAGGGAATCTGTTGCTAGAGGTGCTGTCCCCATAAGAAAGGACATCCGACAGTTCTTCCAGTGCCATACCCTGGGCCATCATGCATTCATTCATGTTTATCTGTGGGCTATCATGTATTTTTGTCACCAGTCAGTGTGACCCCAACATTCTGTGAGCCTCGATTTCACAACTGTTTATAGATTTCAGTGTCCTTTTGTTTTTGGATCAAACTTGGTGGCTGTAAGGCCACATGCTCCTCAAGGGGACAAAGGAACTCAGTTTCATGTGAGTCAAACCTGATGTTTGAAAAATTTGATGTTGCTTCTTTTAAACAAAAGCAGAGGAACCTGGGGTAGACCTTGTGGACAGTATCAGATCTCATAGCTGAAGAAGCGTCATGGTCCAAACCACGGTGTTCTTGTCCACGCACTCATCAAACATATGTTTTCACCTTCTCATCTGGTTGCTCTGATAATGGACTGGCAAGTTCATCAGAATTTCTCTACCCACTTCCTCCCACAACATGTACTCTGCCAGTTTATTGCTTGAAAACATTAGTTTATAGTTCGAAAACATTTCTCTGTTCAGGAATTTTTAGAGAATTGCCAAGGATCTTCCCCTCTACTTCCCTTCCTTCCTTTCTTTCACCTTGGAATTAAAAATTTCAAGGCAAGGTCTTCTCTAGAGTAGA